AGACCAAGGTTCTGATTAGCTTTCATCGTAAGCGGTTTATTCGTTCAAGATGATTTTTATCCGTCCAACGGTGGTAACTCATGATCGCAGATCAGCTAAAGAATTCACTTTTTCTTTCGTTTCCCAATTGAAATCAAGAGCAAGATAAGAGGTGGGAATGGTTTCCCCTAAGTAAAGTTGAAAATGGCGAATTCCTGATGTTCAAATATCACAAGTTCAGAGAAAATCGAAAGCGCAAAAATTTTGAACACGGAGGCGACAAACATTCGAGATCCCATAATAATAATAATAATAATAATAATAATAATAGGGTATCGTGTTAAGAAATTTAGTAATTTTAAGGAATCCCTTTGATCGTTCGTTAACTCGTAATCGAATCACTTTCTTCTAGCCATATCATGAGAGAGAATTTGAGAATAATAGATCGAACGGTTATTTGAAAAATGACGCACGTTTGGACGCATCGCGCGCGGACCGAGAGTCAACAACACTTGAAAAGATCTCTGACACATTTTCCAACCACGAAGGCGAATATTGGAATAGCATTCCGTACCTCCATCAGGAAATTTCGGGGGGCTTTGGTTTGAGAGGGAAATTTTTTGAAACGTTTGTTGGTGTAGATCGCGAAGGAGACAACAGGTCGATTGAAAATGGAGAGTTCGTGGGTCACAATAGATTCTCGTTCGAGTCCCCCACCGGACGTCAAAAAAGAGTCGATGATCTTGACGTTTCTACACCACGTCAAATAAAAAATTTCGAAAACTCATTGACCGGCTATTCAACCGATGATGACACCTTTTTTGATTCTCCGAGACATCCTACAGAAAGTTACCCACAATACCCCAACTTTGAACGGTTCCCAGCTGCATGTCAAAAGAATAACGCTATCTTCGATGAGGTTCACATACCGTGTGTAGCAATGAATCATAAAAGGTTGCCGGTCTTCACGTATGGAAGAAATAATGTTTTCAATGATAATGATGACATCCCATTACATAAGACTGAAAATTTTGAAAATCGATCGACCATTTCGTTCGCAAAAGAGGAAGCCCCCGTCATAAATGAATTTGAGACTTCTAAAGTGTCGATGATCTCGCCCTCCGATGATTCGAGGATCCTTAAAGTTGACAATGAATCTTTCTATCAAGGCGCTTCTGCATCTCAAGACCCTGTCGCGCCACACCAAGTGAACGAACGTTTCACCTCTGAGGATAGTAAAAAAACTGTTTGCCACAAGGCGTTCTCTGAAAGTTCCGAGCAGCCCGTCCCTATCGGGCGGCGGGGGTATGACAAACTTGATGTGGTGAATGGATGGAATGTTGAGAAGTCTTGTCGAAAATATGTGACATCAGGTCTCGATCTTTATTTCGGACGCGATAGCTACGGCGACGCTCGTGGATTTAAGATGCGCTGTGAAGAAAAAGTAATTAATTACCTTAATTACGCCAATTTTATTGAATTTGAGTACCTAACCCTATGAATTCTTACTAGACAACGGCTGACGCCCAAAAACTTGACCTTCTCCAATTCATTCAAACGGTGGAAGACACCCGAGAAATTGATCGCTCACCATCGGATTGGGGTGATCACGCGAATTTCGTGGCTCGCGATTCTACGGGCAAATGGATGGAAACGAGTCGAGAGGTGTCCGACTGCGATCATCATTCTACGGTAATCACATAATACATTTAAAAGGATACCGCGTTGGAAATGATGCTTACCGGCTATCACCTTGGCATTTCTAGAAGTCCACGGATGGTAATTCCACTTGGTCGGTCACAGATGGTCAAGAAAGACACTATGTACCTCCTCGTGAGGGTGTCCGGAGGAAAGGTAAGAAACTTAAGAAAAAGGATCATTGGGGAAATGACAGCAAGCGTAGAGATTTAGATGGCGCACGCAGCCGTAAATCAATAAAGTCACATGAATTTCGAAGGAACTATCATGGTCGCTGCGTTCAACGTCATAACCTTGAATCTCGCGCGGTAAGATTTCCTTTTTCAAAGGCACGGCTATCGCCATCACATCAATCGATAATTGGTTAATCAAATCATAGAAATCGAGGAACTTTGATGTCCGGTCTCATAAACATTCAAGTCCTAAAGAATGGGGCGAACCTGAATTGGCGAACGACAATAGATGCGGTAGATATTTATCAGTGAATGTGAATACATGGAATCTATGGTGGCCTTGGGGAAACGAAGAAGATTTTGAGCGAGACTTGATGAGGATGATTAAAAGGGAAAAAAAAAAGGTGTTGAGACACTTGAATTCGGTAACAAACAAGGAAGTCGAAGAGGGCGAGATCGAAGAGGGCGAACTCACACAAGATGGAGGCGAGGAGCAAACGGTAAATGAAGGCGACCTTACGATAGGTAAAATTTAACAAGGTTCGCATAACGCCATTACTCTCAATGACGTGAACTCTTTGTTTAGAAAGTATCGAAGATTTTATCAACGAAATCTATAAGAATACCGCGTACTACAACATTGAACTCGAGAGCGAGGAAACTAGCAATTGTAAATACTGAAGGTTAAGAAGGATGAAGTAATGTAGGCTCTCGTTTTCTCGATTGCGTTATTCGTCTCTCTTTTTCTTTTCTTTTGTTTTTTTTTCATTGACACTTTCTGATAATAGTGGTTGCATTAGACATTGTTAGGAGGCAAAAAATTGTTTCTTTGGTAGACTTGAGACTTCAATGTAAAATAAATTCTAAATAATAAAGAAAACCCCTTTCTTCAGTGTGAGGTATGGGCCAACGGGTTCGAATTTTCCCTTCTGGCACCCGTAGCCTTGTCGATCATATGAAATACTGTATTTCGTATTTGAATATATTATAAATAGGAGCAGATAATTTCACATTTGCATTTTGCACCGAATTCTCATTATATTACTGTACAATAATAGATTATCTGATGATCTTATTTCGCACAGATATAGTTTACTGCTCTTTGATTTGATTTACTTTGAAATGTTTCGGATACCGCGAATCGTTCCTTGGACTTCGCCACAGGAATATCAACAAGTTTACCAATGGCTATATTCGGGTTCTCCGGATTTACGTGAGCTGGGTGTCAAACGGGTATTTCGAGAGAACCTTGTTTGTTTTTTTTCGCGGTCGTGGATAAATAAAACCTGTTCAATTAAGCGAAACTTGTTTTTACCAATTAAAGGTCAAAGCATGGTCAAATCGTGGAAAGGTTCCTCAGGCCATTGTGTGCACGGCCGCTTTTGTCGAAGCATCGTTGAGGGACGAATCCGGGAAGATATCGAATCATGAGTTGAGATTGCTGTATTCCATGATTTTCGTTAGGCACGCATCAGCACCTGCCATCTCTTCTTTTTTATTAAGATAATTGTGGTTCAGGATCTCATCCTTGATGAGGTTTCACGTTCAAAC